AGTGGAACAGATAGTCTTTTGGTGAAGAAGGATTCACGATTCAGGCAGTCACAACCATGTGATAGTAATCTCTAAGTGTGTAACTAAGAGCAGTAGCATCCCGTCGTGTATTGCATTGTTCCAAACTGTTTAATACTGTACATCACCCAGAGCTGTGATGATGTTAGGCAGTCTAAGCATTTAATAAATAAACAAATAGACCCACCAACCAATCTAGGCAAAATGCTGATTGCAGCATTAGGATCCAACTCCAATCACTTTTGTGCATGCATTGGTGGGGCATGGACATACAAATGGATTGGGACTCAAGCATGATGTTGCAATTGCCTTTTTTGTCTATTTTGACCCCCTCTAATGGGAAGCACTAATTAGAGAAAAATTGGGTTAAATGCTTAAAAAGAATGTGAGGATTTTAATAAAGTCACTGTGTTTCATTCTTAAATTTTATTTTTAAAATACTGTACTGTTAATGGTATAATCATTAAAAGATTGTATTGCCACAAAATTCTAGGGCGCTAACAACGAAAATATATATATACAAAAAGTACATATGCTACAATGCACATAAGATGTTTGTATATAGCTTTTCCTTCATATCCACATCATAGACCAATATGGAAATCAGGTTGGAAGAAACTTGCAATTCATATCATGAGGAACTAGCTGAAAATGAAACTGGCAGATTTGTTCATGCCTAGGGTAAAAAAAAGGAATAAAGTGAAATACTAGCTTATGTAAAATAGATTCTGAACTAACATGAAGAAAATCTACTGTACACCTGACACTATTAAAGTCAAAAGTAATTTAAAATCCTTCACATCACATTTTCTTTTTTTCTTTTACAGTTGAACTCATACGGAACTTTCCAAATCTCTCTCTCTTCCAGTTGCAACAATCAACTGGTTTTGATCTGGGAGCTCTTATGAACGCAATGTCTTCCTGCAAGAAGCTCACTGAAATTCTACTTAATGACTTGAATGTTGGAGATGAAGATCTGTATGCCCTTAGTAAGAAAAGTTTAATGGAGAACTTTTGCAATATTAATACCAAATTATATTTTTGCTTAATAACAAACAAATGATAATTTAAAGGCCACAAAGTTCTTAATTTAAAATATATCTCAGAGATTAGAGCCTTCTATGCTGACCTGAACATACCGGTATTTGGGGAAATGATGTTTCTTGTTTTTTTTTCTTCTATTCTTATACACACATTGCTAGGAAATAAGAGTGCTGGATATGCTGTTGTATTTGTAATCAGAAAAAAACATAAAAGGTTGCCTGCAGTGGACAGGAGGAATAACTCTGAGGAAAAAGAGGAAAAACTGATAACCAAGACAATGGTTGAATAAAAGAAACTTGAGTCAGGGCAGTACTGTAACTTGAGAAAACAAGAGAAGTTTCTTTTATCTGTTTTGGCACTGGCTCTTCCTTCTGCTACTCAAGGTCATTCCTTCTTCCAATTTCATTCCCACAAATAATCCAATTTCCTTTTCATGTAGCAAGAGGTCCTATGAACTGGAAGATTCAGAAGTGTCTGTGTCAAAATCTGCAGGATGGAGACTGTGATATTGTAATCAAAGCCATATTGTTTTGTACATAGATAGATATTACATTCATATACAAAAGGATAGAGCTTAGATTGCGGAGACACACCCATCATTTTGCAGATTTTGGCCATAAAAAACCTAGATAAATGAATTACAAGAAGCTTAAAGAGTGATAAAAAGCATTTTGTTATTGTAAAAGTATTAGTGATATTTTAGTCATATCGTCTGTTGATTTGAATTGAAGGCAACTATTTGTAGTTGTTCATTCATGCCGATATTTATTTTTATATGTTGCAGCTGCTGTTTTACCAAATTTTACAGCATTAAAGATACTGAATCTTTCAAGATTGTATTTTGAAAACAAGGAAGCATGCACAGCACTGGGTATGGTTTAACTTTTCATTCCTGATGAATATGTTCTGAGGTTTGGTATAATGCTGGTCTAGAAAATTCAGCATTTATGATGTTGCATTTTCTTGAACAGGTTATATAGTCTATCTAGACTAGACAGTATGGTTTCCTGGGAGACACCCAATGTTTTTTTTTTACTTTGCAGCATTAGCTTTACGTTCTCTTATGAATTTGGAAGAATTTGTTCTACCGAATGGAGAAGGAATAAGGCATGCAGCTAAATTGATTGTTCAACAATGTTTCCATTTTCCAAATCTTCGTAAATTGGAGTTTAGTCTGTATTTAAGTGCTGAAGGCCTATTGGAAATAGGTAAGTTCTTAAAACAAATAATCTCTATACAACTTTTCAGCATAGCCCCATACTCTGTTCATCATCCAGTTGATAGATTTGGCCTGGTCTATCTTATCCCTAAAATGAACATGGAGCTGACAAACACATTTTAAAAGCCCTTAGAGCAACTTTTGACACATAAAAGCCTGCCACATAACTGACATAAATTATGTAATGTTCACGTTGTCATGCAAATGATGTAAATGGTATTTGTTTCAACTACATGATGCAACTAAATATATAATTTGCTTCAATTGAAAGAAAATGTAATGCAAATGATATCTCTGGCTATCGATACTCATGATCTAAAGTGTGGGTTAAAACCCACAGTGATATCCCATACATTATTGAGTTATTGTGCAAATGATGTACATTTTGTAATTCTTTAATGTATGAATTAATAATTCTTGCAATTGATGTTAATTCCATAAATTACATTCTTTGCACAATGACAGACTGATGCTTGTAACCCATTTCCCTTCTTGCAAATGCCATTGAAGGCAATAGAGCCCTTTGTCTGTGATGGTTTAATTTAAATTCTAGAAAGGAATTTGGACATTGCCTAAATGGCCCTTCTAACTTTCTCAGAAGATAGTGAAACCTAATTTTGTAAAAGTGTTTGCTACCATGGAATAACATTATGCATGTTGAAGGAAGAGCTAATGCTTTAAAATATTTAAAGTCAATGTTTTATGTTCAAATGAATCATATAAAGTTTCATTCCTTTTTATTATAAAGAGGTAGCTCTTCCTTTTTATGCTAATTTAGTATTTCTCAACTTTAGTAACTTTAAGATATGTGGCTTTTAATTCCCAAAATTTCCTAGCCATCATGCCATCTGCACTGATTCTTTGCTGTCTGTAATCATGACATGACATTGAGTACAATTTATTCAAAATAATTTCATTTCTCTACTCATTGCTTTTGTTTCAGCAAAAGTAGCTGCTGATGGAGGTTTTCAAAAACTTGAATTTCTATGCCTCTCAGCCAACCATAAAATTACTGAAGAGACTTGGAGAAATTTCTTTCAAACGTTGTCCAACATGCCAGACTTACAAAATATGGATTTCAGTCGCCTTGTTACACATCAAATCAAATGCCAAGCAGCAACTGTGAAATCTTTTGTCCAATGTGTTTCTCGACTGCCCAACCTCAGGTCAATCAACATGATTGGCTGGTTGTTCGATGAGAAGGATCTCAACATGTTTGAGATTATGAAAGAACAACATCCCCAGTCAAAGGACTTAAACTTAACTTGGAAATTTATACTGCCATTTGCACCTATTATTAATGAATAAAGAAGTGGAATGTACTTCACTGTACCATATTAACATTAGTTGGCATGCCTTATACATATTCTCACCATTTATTGACTTATTTTAAAATTTATTCCAGTGTCATTATCCTTTAATTTTTTTTTTTCACAACCAGATTCCCATTTTTTTGAAAGCTCTTCCCCATCAGTATTGGTACCAGTTCCTGATTGGTACCAAACCCCTTTGGTTCCATGGCATAGTTAGCATGGGCAGCTGAGATATTTTACTTACAGTTCAACTATAGCTGAACACCACTTGCAATTCTGTATATTGCTGAAACTTTGGTTTTAGGCCAGTTTTCCCATTGATGGGAAAGATGAAGTAGTCCAAATTCTGACATGAAATTCTGACACAATTATAAATCTTAGCGCATTGTAAGCCGCCCTGAGTCTCCAGAGAAGGGCGGCATATAAATCAAATTAAAAAAAAAAATCGATGGAATAGTAACTGGCATGTAGTTGGAGACCACCATCCTAAGTCTATCTGGGAAGAATTACTACTATTTTAATCTTTTTTGTCACATCTGTCAGCATTTTTTCCCATGTTACAGCAATTTTTTTCCTGATTGAGACATTTTATTCCATATAGTATTTAGCATAATTGTTTTTTCTTTCTCCTTTGCTACACTCAACTGGTAGATCATTTCTACTGATATGTTAAGATGTCCATTCTTGTACGGTAATAATTTTACAATTGTTATTTTATCTTTTTATGTATTTTTCTGTTTTTCAAAATATAATAACCTTCAGGGATAAATTCATGATGTTGTTCAAGATATCTAAAACTCAGTTCACAACTTGGGCATGCTTTACCTCCTTTAGTCTTGTGATCCTGACCAAGAGTTATCCCAATGCATGTTAGAAAACCCTGTTGATTTTCTCTCTCTATCTATCTCTTAAGCAGGGAAACCTAAGTATAATCTTAATAAACGTAATGTAATATATATTATGCATGTCTATGTAATTTATTAGGTATACTGCTAGCCAGTAAACATATATTAAATTAGTAAAATAGATTCATATGTTTCATATGTAGTTCTGTAACTGCTAATGTGTGTTCAAAATACAATTAATTATCATACACACAATAAAAGGAGACATGGTATGAGATGAAAAACAAGCTCTTCTGCTATTATGGCTTCCTTACTGCTTCAAAATTGAAATCAGTGGTGATACCATGGGAGACTTTTAAAATCCTAAAGGGAAAGTAGAGTGTTTTCCAGTGAGCTTAATTCATGCAGTGTGTGCATGTTCTGTGTTCTGTTGTGAGGATAAATAACCACCTGCATATAATCCACAGAAGATTCCACAAAAGAAAACATGACCATCGTGTTAAAAAATGCTTTTTACCTATTCTAGATATCAGTAAGCTTAATAAAAAAGAAAATGGAATATCAATTTGGAAAAAGTTAATTTTATTGACCAGTATTTCAAATCAGTTGAGTGATAACAAGCAACCATTCCCTTAACTGACAGAAGAGTTGTTCTAGTCCTGGATCCTGGATAATCTATGCTTGAATAGAGTTTTTCACTTAGGTCATTGCTGTTGTCCACAACTACAACATGGAATACATCAAAATAATGTTGCTGTGGAGCTAGCAGTGAAGATTAGTCTTCGTCTTCAACTTCGTCTAAGTTGACTCTAAGAATCAGCATGTCAGAATTTATCTGAATGTTACTCAATTTGTCCAGAATAAGCATCTAAAAATGAACACAAGATAACACCAGCAACCGTATCAGTATCTTGCCAGCAGTGAAGATAATGTAGACAAATGCATTAATGGCAAAATTTCATCTCTGAGCATTGTCTGTTATAAGTGAAATTTCTCTAACAAGGGTTGAGGGGGAACTCTTTCTTTCTGAGAGACTGTCAAAAACATCATGTGGGAAAGCAAATTCATTTGGGAACCTTTGCCAATACTATTATGATTTATTCCAGATTTGCGATGGTGGCAAATGTCTGTAGGTTGGGTATAGGATGAGGGTGGAGGTTTGTTCTCCAAGCTCGTGGATTGTTTTCTGAACATTTCATTACTAGGCTAGGTAATATCTTCAGAAGAGTTATGGGGATGTCAGTGTTAGTGTTCCTCTGTTTATAAGGGCTTCATGTGGTATAGTGTTCCTCTGTGCCACACAAAGCCTTTATAAACAGAGGAACACTAATATTGATGTACCCTAAACTCCGCAGAAGATGTTACCTAGCCTGGTAATGAAATGTTTGGAAACCAACCCACAAGCTCGGAGAAAGAACCTCTATCCTTATTCCAGATTACTTATAACTGATAGAAATCTGATGCTTAAATACTTATTCTTCTTGGGCATGTAAAATATCATATAAATAATATAGATCGGAAAAACTACTCCCAATGATTTTATCAATCCATCCCTATACAGCAATTTTGGATTCAGTTATATTATTCTATGAGTTCTACATGCTACTAATAATTACCACAAGACATGCTATTTTGAAGTGATATTTGGTCAGGGGCCCATCTTAATACATTCAAAGGAATATCTTCCACTGCACAATTAATACCAATAAGATACAATACTTACCAGACTTATTTCAAGTGACTGTGTCTTCCCAAGGTAGCTTCCACTCGGCCCTGCTTTAAACCCTATGCAATGTAATATACAGTTTGAAGTTAAAGGTTAATACATTTTGCAGTCCTGCAAGAAACAGGTAACACAAATACAAACTCAAGCTAAATTAATCTAAGTTTTTTCATAGGTAAACACCATTTATAAAACCACCCTGTAAAAGGGAGCAGGAAGGGCTTCCACAATGAAAGGTATTAACATTTTATCTGTAATTCCATGAGTTATAAAGCTCATATTTTCTCTTTCAGCACAAATGAAAAGCAAATTATTCCAAAGCAAATAGCTTTGGTTCCAAGCTTAGTTTATGATGAAACAGAAAAGTGGTAATTTTAATCCAAACTACTGCCATTCCTGCCATCTGGAATGCCATTATTTCCCATGTCTCTTTTACAAGTTGTGCTTTAGAAAAGTTTTAAGACCTTGGCTTTATTTTCTTTTTTGTACATTTACTCAACAAACTGGCATTTCAATATTTACTTTTGTATACCGCTTTGAGTCTTCTTTTTGACTTGAGATAATACCAACAGAAGAAAAAATAATAACAAAAATAAATGAATGCGCAGAGATGGATAGGCTCACAAAAGAGCTCCAAGATAAAGAGAACACTGACTTTTATTTAGTTTGGCAAAAATGGTACACATGGTTAGAAAGAAGGATAGGGCCAACAACATAGGACATTAGGAGAACATAACTCAAGAATTGTAGAAATAGATACATGAGATGAGCCGTAGGATTGTATAAATAAATGGTTAATATGTTTGTAGAAAGATACTGCTGAACTTCAATGAATATATCAAGGTATAAGCAAGTGAATTTGTAAATAGTATGATTAAGGAAAATTGGTTAAATGGACATTAATCACCGATGCGAAGGTTTTCTAGAAGTTAGTCGATTGACTCTTTGTTAATGTATAAGTGTTTACATGTATTTGTGTTTTATGTTTGTTTATGTTAATAAAACTTAAAAAAAAAAAAAAAAAGAGAATCTACCTCTGGACCAACCGGCCTTTACTGGATTGTTTCCGCAATCATTATTTAAATCTTTACTCTTCAAGGCCGTCAATACGGCTCAATTGTCCTCACCGAACGCTGACCCGGCTCCTGCCTCTTCTTCTGGCTCCTTGGACCCTATCCTGTCCCGCGATCCCCGCTCGCGCCGCGGTTGGCTGGCCAGGGCCCGCCGGGACCGAAGCGGAGCCTTCCCGCCCCGGTCCACTCCACTCGGAAGGAACCCCTCGCCCGCGACATCACGGCAGGGAAAGAGAAACGGAGGCTCCGGTCCGGCTGGACCAACGATCGACCGGTCCCACCCGAGCATCCCGGTAGACCCGGCCGTCTGCCCGTCGCGGACACCCCCGGGGCCCGTCGCGGGCACCGAGGTGACGGCGGAGGTCCCCGACCGAGGCCCGCGGCCCCCACGCCGGGATGGGAACCTGCCAGACCCATAACATCTATCCCTACTCCACCTCTCTTTTTGGATGTGGTGAAATGGCAGTGGGATTCTCCGGGTGCTGCGCCTTTTCCCTCGTCTAACGACCGTAAGAATTTCCAAGTCGCCTCGGATCTGGACTCCCTCCTTCAAATTCCTTCTGTTGACGTTCCTGTCGCTGTGTTGTTACCCAATGCTAATATTCCGGGGGTCCAGATGAAGGCCTTCGTTCCGACGAGCGTCGCTCAGACCTGGTCCTCCAGAGGGTGCATCAGGGTTCCGCTTGGGTTATTAGGGCTGCTACCACAGCATCCTTCTTCAACCGGACCACTCTGCTATGGATGCGCCACCTACAAGAAAAATTGCCCCAGAGGACACACGGATTAGACAGGATTTAAATAAGATTGTGGCCACTGTTCAGTTTTCTGCGGTCTCCACTCTTAATGCTGCTAGATTTGCCGCAAAATCTTTTGCTTCCACGGTTGCTGCTCGCTGTTTGGTCTGGATCCGCCACTGGCAGGCGGATGCCAGGCACAAGTGCTTGGCGTCGGTCCCCTTTCGGGGGTCTAAATTGTTTGGAGAGGCTCTAGATCCATTCCTCACGGAGACTAGAGACAAGAAGAAGGTGTTGGCGGCAGCCTATCGTCAGGGGGAGTCGCAGTTCACACTGTATACCCCCCATTCCCAGTTCAGAGGTGCTGATAGGGGGGGTTCTTCCTCATTTTCTTTGTCTAGGCAGTATAGTGCCTTTAATAGACAACGGGGCTCCCAGGATAGGTCAGTCAGGGGGCGGTCTTTGCTTCCAAATGGCCCTTTCGAGGGGGAGGAGGTCATTTCATCCGGCGCCGTCGCTGATTGCATTTCGGACACTTCCATAGGCGGCAGATTGGCCCTCTTCGCCGCCATTTTGGAGAAGTCCACGTTTGATAGGTGGGTCCAGGCCACCTTACGCTCAGAGGTGGCCATTGAATTTCTTTCCATCCCTCCGGATACCTTTGTCTGCTGTCCGCTTTCTCGTAACATCAAAAGGAGGTCCCTTATGGACTCCGCGGTTCAGCATCTCTCAATCAGGGCTATCCAGCTTGTACCCCCTGATCAGAAGGGGACGGAATTTTATTCCGGGTTTTTCTTGTGCCTAAGTCTTCGGGGGGGGGTGGAGACCCATTCTGGATCTTAAGCGTTTGAATAGATATGTGGTGTATCGGAAATTTAAAATGCAATCTTGGAAATCTATTCTTGATGGTGTCCGGAGGGGCGATCTCCTCTCTTCTATAGACCTCACTGAGGCTTATTTACACATCCCTATCCTCCCCTCCTATAGATGGTATCTTAGGTTTTGCTACGGGGCGTCCATTACCAGTACCGGGCTTTGCCCTTTGGCCTCCCGCCCCCGTACCTTTACGAAGGTGTTGGCCGCCTTGGTGGCTTCCCTTAGGGTTCGATCGGTTAGACTTTTGTGTTACTTGGATGATATCCTAGTCTTATCGTCCTCTCCCCAGCAGGCAGTAGTGGACGTTCAGCTGACCTTTGAAACCCTAGTGTCCCATGGCTTTTCTATCAACCTGGAAAAGAGCCATCTGGTCCCCACTACCCGCCTTCTTCATTTAGGGGCTCTAATTGACTCGGTGAGGGGCAAGGTCTTCCTTTCTCCAGACAGACGGGACAGTTTGCGGGCCATGGCCTCTAGGGCTGAGGGGTGTAGGTCGGTCTCTCCCCTTGTCCTTTCAGTTATTGAGTAAGATGATATCCGCCATATCGATAGTTCCCTGGGTGCAGTTACACGCCCAGGAGCTTCAGTGGTTCCTCTTACTGTTACAGAAGGCGGGCAGAGGCACATCCTCCGAGCTGTTTCCGGTTCCCTCTGCTGTGCGCAGGTCTCTCCGGTGGTGGCAGTCCCCAGCCATCTCGGAGGGTTGCCTCTTTTTCGAACCACAGAGGATAGTGGTGACGTCAGACGCCAGTCTTTGGGGCTGGGGAGCCTATTGCCAAGGCCAGTTGGCGCAGAGAACGTGGACCGAAGTGGAGGCTCGTTGTCCCATCAACTGGCTGTAGTTGCAGGCGATCTTCCTCGCCCCCAGGTCCTTTCGTCATCTTCTCGGGGCTCATGTCCTCACGGACATTGTTACGGCCAAAGCACATCTGAACAGATTGGGGGGCACCAGATCCAGGTCCCTGTTATCTCTGGCCATGAAATTGGGACTCTGGGCGGAACGACACCTCAGCTCTCTCCGGGCGGAGCACATAGGGACTGCCAACACCCAGGCGGATTGGCTGAGCCGGCAACAGGTGGACAACGTGGAGTGGTGCCTCCATCCACGTGTCTTCCAGGAGCCGGTTCTTTAGTTTGGCAGTACGGTCATCGACCTGTTTGCAACGCACTCAAAGGCCCAGCTCCCGCGCTTTTGCGCCCGGTATCCGGAGCCTCAGGCGCAGGCCACCGACACTCTCTGGGCCCTGTGGCTGGGGGGCCTTCTATAGGCTTTTCCACCAACGTCTCTGCTGCCCAGAGTCATCCGAAAACTTCTCTTGGAACGGGCGGAGGTGATCCTCCTTGCCCCTCATTGGCCCCGGTAACCCTGGTTTGCGGACCTGGTCTCCCTCTCGGTCATCCCCCCTTGGCGCATTCTTCTAGACAAGGATTCTCTAACGCAAGGCGCTCTGTGCCATCCGGATCTTCCTTGGCTCAGTCTGACCGCTTGGCGGTTGAGCGGTGCACATTGTGGGGTGCTCACATTCCGGCGGACATTATTCGGACTATCCAGGCCTCGCGGTGTCCCTCTACAGACCACATTTACTCTGCTACTTGGCGGGCCTTTTTCTTGTGGTGTGACAGGAACGGGGTGGAGGTTCTGAATGCCTCCATTGTAAACATCCTCGTTCTCGGCTCTGTCTCTCATCCAGTCCGTGGCCGTCAAAAAGAACCAGGAAACAATGTCAAGTGACAATAGTTTAATCAAGGTTTAGCAGCAGCACAGCAAGAAGAACAGAAGAAGCTGGATCACGGGATTTAAGTCAGTGCTGCACGCAACCGCCGTGCAGCGCTATTTATTTCCTCCCCGGCTCCTAAATTATCATCCGGCACTCAAATCCCAACTCCCCACATCAGCTGCTCAGCGGTTGACAATCCCGCCCATCAATGGTATCGGCGCTGCCGTAGCATCATAGGACAGCGCCGGCAACTCAGATTTGGGAAGCTGCGCCGATCTCGTCAAGGCTGAGTGTCGCTCGATGCTGAATCTGGCTGGCTGCTGCGCGGAGCCGTCCCCGCATTCAGGTGGGTGTTATCGACGCTCCAATTGTCCCCCAGGCCGCCAGTGATGGCGAGTCCCAGCTGGGGCTTGACAGGTGGCTCCCCTCTACCATGGGTCCACCTGTAGGAAAAAGAGGAGAGACATTAATTATAGCAGATACAGTTCCTGGAGCCCCTCGCTTGTTTGGGTATTTGCGGTGATACTTTTGTATCAAACGTGTAGCGTGTACATCTGGTGCGGCTACCCAGGAAGACTGTGCTAGGGGATACCCTTTCCAGGGCACTAAATACTGAACTCTGCCCCTACGAAATCTGTAGTCTAATATCTTGTCTACTTAATATTGGTCCGTATGTATCGGCCCAGGTGGACCAGAGGCATCAGTAGTCCTGTCTGCAGTGATGGGTTTCAATAAACTACTGTGAAACACAGGATGTATTTTACCCAGGAGAGAGGGTAACTTAAGAGCCACAGTTACAGGATTGATTACTTGGGTAATCGGGAAAGGACCCAGATACTTTGGTCCTAATTTCCTACTCGGCAACTTAAGTTTTAAGTATTTGGTTGATAAATAGACTTTATCTCCTACTTGAAACGGCTTTGGATCCGCTCTTTTTTTATCTACATATGTCTTATATTCATCTGCAGCTTTTTTTAACGCTGTTTTAACATTTGGCCATATACGGCGGATTTTTTCTGCCCAACTGCCTGGGGTGTCTATATTCGTGGATGGAGGTTCTACTTCTGGTATAATTGGGAACTCCCTGCCATATACAATCTGGAAGGGAGAAAGACCCGTACTGCGATGAGTAATATTATTGTAAGCCACCTCTGCG